AGGGAAGAGATTATGTGTTCTTCAAGATCATCAAGGGCAGGACAGAAAAATTGAATGAGGCTAGATATTGAGAATATTTTCTATAAATTACAGTTAAGCACTGGAACAGGCTCCCAAGGGAGACAGTGGAGTCTTTTCCATTGGAGGTTTTTAAGATCAGACAAATGTCTTTCAGGGATGATCTAGTTATACTTACCCTGGCGCAGAGCAGAGCCATAAACTAAATAATTCTTGAGGTCTCGTCTAACCCTACCTCTACATTGATTAGTCTATACTTCTATAGGCAATGTAGATACAGGCATATTTAAATATAAAAAACCTTCCATTTTCCTTTCATTTTTTGATAACTATAAAAATATTTGGGTTTTGAAAGATTATTTTCCTCCCAACCTATCCTCTCTCAAAAACTCGAGCTACAGTGTTCTCAGTCCCCCCGGAAATGTTCTGAGGAGCGTCCACTGGCCTGTGGGCAAACTACTCCTCCTATTCTAATCCATGCAAATTTTAGTTTCCCCCCCTTTTAAACTCTAATTTGTTTTTCCACTTCCTCCATCCTGGGCTGGGACGTCCATTCACATTCCAACCCCGACTTGTGAACGTACTCAAAACTTTTACACAACATGGGATTGGATTCCCTATTAACGGGATCACTTTCCTCAGTGGTCCTCACCCTTTTAGAACCATTGCTCCCCTTGGGAGACCCCAGACACCCAGCTCTTAGTCAAAAAAACCCATGCAAAAAAAAAAAAAAAAAAAAGCAGGGCAGCAAATGCAGGGACAGCATGCACCGCCCAAAACCAGAGCCTGGCTGGCCGGAGCCACACTCCAGCTGCAGCCCCAGGAGGCCCCCAGGTAAGGCTGCTGGGCCCAGCCCAGTGCTGGCCCAGCCTCCCTACCCCACCCGGGGTAACCTGCCATGCACCAGAAGGCACGTGGCACAGGCGCTCCCTGAGGACAAGGAGCAGTGGGGCACAAGGCATGCTGCTGTTTCTTGTCCCTGGGGAAACAAAAGTCCACAGTCATGTGGACACGGCCTATGAGCTTATCTTGCAAAACATGTAGGTATTTGCACACTTAACAGTACTAATATTATGCGGCCTCCCACGGCATCCCTAAAAGGATCTCATAACACCCAGGACGCTGCACTTTAGCTGACAATCACTGACTTATCTGAATCAGGGAGATGTAGTTAGTTGTGTTAGTCTGAAATCAAGTAGAAGGCTGCACCTTATAGACTAATGTGTGTGTGTGTGTGTGTGTGTGTACACACACACACACATATACATATATATCACGAGCTTCAGCTCACAAAAGTTTGTACTATATATAATACACTTTGGTTAGTCTATAAGGTACAAATCTACCCTGCCTTCTATTTATCTAAATTGCTCAGTCTTGCTAGCTCTTTTCCATACTCTTTGACTTCAGAAGGCAATATTACAATAAGGAATCGAGAAGGCATAAGGGTTTAGATTGCATTTTGACACTCAGATAAACCTTAACAAAAACAGGACTAAGACTCCCATGCAACTGAAGGATGGCCTTTCCTTTAATCTAAATATTATTTTGCATTGGAAGAAGAGAAGGTTTCATTTAGATAAGGTCACATTAGTGCAAAGGTGACAGGATGTCTCAAAGACGATAATGGAAGAAAAGCAAACCAAAAGTACATGCTCTAGTTCCACTGAATCAGTCATCTACTTTAAATAAATGGTGGCAAGGGTCAAGAAGCAGACCTCGACCTTCAGGCACCTTCTGGCATTCTCAGGGAAGAAGTGCTGAAATCCACCCGTACTAGGAATTGGAGTACAGGAGAATCACAGAAAGGTCAATGGAGCGAGTCAGGGAGACCTCAGTTAACAGCAGAGTACTCTACTTCCACTCTCTCGCTGGGCTAAACAGGACCACCCCTCTCTTTCTGGCTGGTACTGTAAGAGATCCCTCTCCTGTTTCAGTTTATTTTAATCAGTGACTGCTAAATACCTCCTGGTATCACTTCCCTTTTTGCCTTTTTCCTCTGAAATACTGTAACCTCTCTCTGGATTTTGCCTTGGTTCCCCTCTCACACAGCTGCAGTTAATTCCCTGTTCAGCCTCTGGGGTTAATTCTCTCATTAGATCACTTTCTTTCTCAACAAGATGATTATTCCCAGTGGAGAAATGAGCAAAACTAAAACAATAGTGTACTAGCATCTGACAAACAGCATTCGGGAGGTTTACTTTAAGTCAAGTTGCCTGGCTGGATTTAATCCAGATCTACGGCTTCCACACATGAACTTTCTAAGCTAAATACTTTGGACGATGTTCCAATCTCAGTAATGCCAGGGTACATCTGGGGTCACTCCAGACTTCCCTTTAATAAGAGAGATCAGAACGTGAACCTATATATGAAAAGGCCAAGAATAAATGTGCCCAAATCAAATCTTGGGACGGCTGAGAGACTCAGCACTAGACTTCGAGGCACTTGTTATGTTCAAAAGTGACTGAGGGGTATGTTCTGCTCCCTAAAAGGGACAATACGGTCCTTCTCCTAAAAAGGACAGTCAGTTTTCTTCTCCTGCTTTGAGAAGCTGCAGTCTCACAGTAAGACCGGACCCATTCCAGGATACAAAGTGTGCAATGGCTCAAATGTTTAATTGACAGTCCCTGAGCAATAATGACATCTAAGATCAATGGGACATTGTGACATGTTTAAAGAGAAAAGACATGTAACAGCCTTAGCGGAAAGGAGGCATCTGGGAGATGGATGCAACAGAACCTTGACTGCTCTAAAGCAATATGGCAATTTCTAAGTGGAAATAAACCTTTGATGGTACTGGGCTATAGCTCTAGCTTTGCATGTGGGAAACGATACGAGTTCAAATCACCATGGGACCTGGAGCTGGAGTGAGAATAGATGCCTCTTGCAAAGAGCTAGATTCAGCATCCCACATAGCCCCTTCAAGGAGAAGGTCTTCCAGGCTGTCTGTTCTTTCTAGTACCTTTCTTCTGAAGGACTAAACAAGTCTTAAAATGTTCATTAAAAAAACAACGCTCTACTCAGACAGATATAAAGGGACCAATTCCCTCATCTCTGAACAGCAGACTTTGGTTGGGTGGAATGCAACAGCAAATTAGGGTATGGCTTTACAAACAACTTATCACAAGATAAAAGCAGCTGGGCTTGATCACTCATCAAGTAATCTGTGGCAACTGGCATGTTTGCACTCTTAACCTATCGTAAATGGAAATTAAATCACAAGCAGCTTACTCCTCCTCCATTAGGGACTAAACTACAGTTTAGCTTCCGTGGTAAACCATGGGTGGGGGGAAGGAAAGTGTGTACAGGGGAAGCAGCTGATGCAAATTAAGCCCTGCATCTTTTCATCCAGCAGTAAATTGTACGTGGAGGCCCTTAGCAATGCAAAACTATGCCAAACAAAATGCAACACCACTCTGGAGTTTTAAGTCAGGAGTTGAAGAGTATGCCTACATTTGAAACTGCAGAGGACGTTCAGCTGGCAGAATGTAATTAGATATGTCCAAATTTAGCCCTCAAGGCTAGCACCCTACTAATCACAAAGAGTGTCCTGGGTTTGGTTTAGTAACAACAAACGATCAAGGCTTCCACTTTATGTCTCCTCCTGGGTACTAATCTGCAGCACTGGTCAGCTTTCCATTGCAAGAAAAGCATCGTGGATCTCCAGTCCTTCTGGGAGACAATGCTGAACAAGTTGCATCCCCCTTCTTCAGGGCACCCTGCTAATACATGAAGTCAGTCTAGTTGACATGGAAACAAATACACTTTTTTTTCCAAAACAATAATTTGTCTTTTATTTTATACAAAAAAATCTGTCCGTATACACTACAGTAAATCTCCTTGTCTGTTAAAAATTTACCATCACCCAACAATTTCACAAACAAAAATGACACAACGTTTATTCAAGGATATTGCATTGTTTAACAAAATATCACGCCGTGGCAGTGGCAAACTCACCCTGTACAGTTTGGAGAGGGCCTTAGGCAGTCCAGCACTTACCACTCTGGGCAGTCTGCAATGCTCTGCAGAGATACGGTCAGACCTGGGAGTTTCTGGATGCCTGGAAGAGAGCTAGAACAAATTTTTTAGGGCTGTGAGTGTGGATCTCTTGAGAGAAGATGTAACCTGCGTGATAACTCTTACCCTGTTAGAAACACAAGTGTAAGAGATATTGCCACTAGAATGACAACACTTCAGTGGGAAGGCAGGAAGCCCTGTGCACGGAGGAGCAGCCTCTGTCACACGCCGAGAGTGCCACTCAGTGCTCAGTTGCTTAACAGGCAAACGTTGTTTATTTTCACTGAATCTCCTAAATGGTACGTAACGAAGGAAGCTTTTGAATTCTCTACGGCTGCGACTTGAAGCTCTTGGTGCTAGAATTCATCACAAGGCAGGAAGCCTTTCACGCACCATCACATTTCACACGACAGCGAAATGTGATTTCAGGCTCCTGGGTGCAGCCATAGTGGGACCTGAGATATGGGATCCATACTGTACATACCGCCCCTCTTATTATGTGCTGATGCAGTGCCCTCTTCTGGAGACACAACCGTTCTGAACCGCATTGCCGAAAGCCGGTCATGTTTTGCAATAATAAATTAAGCCATCTCAGCAACCCTATTCTGGGGCTGCAAATCTGCACTATGTTGTGAAATCCTAGCGCTGGGCCTAACAGCTGAGCCTGGACTGTGACTGAGCCATTAGCATTTCAAGCTTTCTAAGCCTTCTGCTTATAGGTCACTTCCGATTAACAACATGTCAGGGCAGAGAGGGTCTGGTTTCTTGTGCTGATGTTATTGTCAGTGGGGGAAAACATCTCAAGCACTGTCGGCATGACTTAAAATGTAAACTGATTTATAGCAGTGTGTGTGCAACTACATTTAAACTCTATAAAGCCCTCCCCCTGCATCTTATTTCCTCCAGAGAGTTATTTTAAGATATAAGGTAACTCCACAAATCTAAATCTGCAAGTATTTTGAATGCTTTCACACACAAAGTGTGAATTAAATAAAAGAGAAAGAAAGAAAAAATCCCTAGCAAATGTTATGCTTCAGATTAATTTTCACAAAAAGTTTTAAGGGACATTTTATACTTAAATGTAGTCTCTTGACAGCTGTGGGTGCGGGAAGTGTTTACTGCTGCCGTAGGAAGATGGCGATTTGAAGCCTGACTGTGATGTGGAAGTGGGTTTTTTTCTTCATTACCTTATATTTACTCGGCTCTGTCATCTGAGAAGTGTTGTGGAGGATCCCTCTGAAGTACAGATGTCCACCGAAATTTGTCACCATTCTCTGCCTGCTCCATGATGGTATGCGAGCGGTGGTTCCCAGTAACGGATCTATCACAGATCCCTTTGAGATTCAAATGGGAGTTAAGCAAGGCTGCATCATCGCTTCAACACTTCCCGATATTCCTCACTGCAATGCTACATCTGACCACCAACGAGCTTCCAGCCGGACCAGAGCTAAACTACTGAATGGATGGTAAGCTGTTTAAACTCAGCCAACTCCAAGCCCAAATCAAGACCACCCTGACCACAATCATCAAGCTCCAGTGCACTGATGATGCTGTAAGGTGTCCTCACTTGGAGGCAGACCTTCAGGAAATCACTGACATCTTTACCGAGGCATACAAGAAAATGGGACTGATGCTTAACATTCAGAAGACTAAGGTCCTTCACCAACAGTCCTCCTAATGAACAGTCCCCAGCTCTGGTAATCCAGATCCACAGTGAGACTCTGGAGAACGCTGAGTATTTCCTGCACCTCGGAAGCCATCTCTCACAGAAGGCTTCTGTCAACTCAGAAATCCTCAATTGCCTCAAATGTGCAAGCGCTGCATGAAGAAATAGGTGTTCAAGAACTACTACATCAGATCCAACACCAAACTTGAGGCTTATCAAGCAGTCACGATCCCCACCTTGCCGCACGGAGTTGAGATATGGACAACGTACAGCAGATATCTAAAGTTGTTGGTGAAGTAACATCAATGCTGCCTACAGAAGGTCCTCCAAACCCAGTGAGAAGAGAGCTGCACCAATCCTCCTGCAAGCAAACCCCGTGAGTACTGGGGCAACGTTCATCCGACATCAACTTCATTGGGCCGGCCATGTCATCCGGATGTCCAACTCCAGAAGCAAGGTGTAATCTCCCAGCTCAGCCAAGGCGTACACTCAAGAGGAGGGCAGAGAAAGCGCTTCAGGGGAAAAAAATGCAACATTGACATCAACTCATGGGAGGCTTCATGAGAGGCTATTGCCCAGGACTGCCCCAAATGAAGGAAGAATCTGCTGCAGGAATCTCAGTACACTGAAACCTCACAACACCACCAGGAGATGGAAAAGTGGGAGCAGCAGAAACCTCGTGTCACGGACCAAATCAAGAATCCAACACCACCTGCCCCATGTGGAAATGCATGTCTGAGCTACCTACGGTAGAGTCTGTTGATCCTGGAGAGGAAATGGTTTGGGTGTCCAGACTCTAAATTCAGTCCTGCTCCATCCAAAGTTTAAAACCAATTGCATGGCAGTGGCCGTGGTGTTTCTAGTCAGACAGGGCTGAGCAAGTCAATTGACTTCCCAGAGCATTAAAATCTACCTGATTCCTTCCAAACTCTTCACATCACAGCACAGGTGTTAATGTCCTTCTCTCCTTTTTAATGGCCTTTTTTTAAAGTTTCACCAAATAAACTAACCTTTGTTCTGCGATTCTGCTGTCCCTTAGCTCCTCCTGGTCATGTCGTTCTTATTTCACAGCCTTGCTGACTGTTTTCAGCTCATACCAACAACACTGTATCTGTTTTTGCATCAATCTTAAACTGAACAATTTCTTCCCTAAGCCCTACTAGTAAAGCTTCTAGTTTCTTTTTACCTGGAGAAAGATTTGTTGTTACTTTGATGGTGCAACTCACCATCTGCACTCCCCCTTTCAAAATCCTAGATCCGCCCATCAGGGATGTAATCCCCCTTTCTTACGCACGTAAGAAAGAGAGCAGACACGTGACATATCGCCCTATACCAGTGTACCATGCTACGACAACCCGGTGTGGTAAAGCACCAGGTGGAGGGGCCGAGCCTGTTTGGGTAATTACATTAGTGTCAACAATTCAGTAATTACACTAGTGTCAATTACCCCAATGCAGGCATCACTTCCAGCATTGTTTTGGGAGCAGCCATTTGTTCCCTGCCACAACTTAGTGCTCCATGAGCACCGCCTGCAGCATCTATCCTGGGATAACTGGCTGTCTGCCTGCTTGGGATCCCAGGATAATTTACAGTCACATCCAAGTGGTGCGTGTTCAAGCTCACAACTTGTCACGCCTCGCAGCAGTCATCCAGGCGCGGTACAATGGAACAGCAGGGCACAGACCGGAGAGGAGCAACTCCCCCAACACCTGCGCCAGGCTCCACGTGTCCCGCCGCCCATGCGCCCTGCTGACCACCCGCCACCACCGGGCGCATGCGCACTGAATCTCCCCTCCGCCTCGGGCGCATGCGCACTGATACAGCGGACGCCGCCGCACCCCCATCACGTGACCGCCACCGCCGCGCAGAGGCTGTCGGGAACCCGGAAGCAGCCCCTTCTCGCACTGAGGGGGAGAGAGGAAGTAGGCCTCGCTTACAGCGCTTTCGGTGGTTTGTGCGCCCCTTCCCCCCGCTCGCCCCGGCATGGCGCGGGGAGTCCGCGCCGCGCTCGGCCGCCACCCCGAGGGCTGTGGCACGGGGAGCCCGCGCGCTCTGATGGCGTCACCGCCCCGGCTACGTCACACTCCGAGCGCCCGGAGGCGGCTGCGGCGCCCCACCTGCACCCGCACCCGCACCCCGGCGGGGCCCTCCGAGGTGCCTGAGGCGGGGGGCGCGAGGCCTGTGAGCGGGTCCTCAGGGGGGTGGTCCTGAGGGGGAAGCGGTCCTGAGCCGTCCCGTGTGTTTCTCCGCAGGTTGTAGGGGGCTGAGGATGCGCGGCTGCCCCCCCCGCCATGGCTTGTGCGCGGGCTGGCCCCGGCCCTGGCCCCTTGGGCGCAGACCAGCATGCGCGGCTGCTGCTGGCGCAGATGGACAGGATGCGCCGCACCCAGGACCTCTGCGACGTGCAGCTGCTGGTGGGCAACAAGGCCTTCGGGGTCCACCGCCTGGTGCTGGCGGCCGGCAGCCCCTACTTCGCCGCCCTCTTCACCGGGGGGATGAAGGAGGCCTCCAAGGAGGTGGTGCAGATCCGGGGCATTGAGGCTGGCGCCTTCCAGCTGCTCCTGGATTTTATTTACACAGGTAGCGTGGGGGGTGTGCTCTGTGTGTGGGGGGGCTGCGCACATGGCCAGCGGCAACTACAGTGCAGGGGACTGAGCCAGCAGCGCGCCCGTGTTGCTAGAAGGCAGCCAGCATCCTGGGCTGCATTGGGAGGAGCGCTGCCTGCAGATCAAGGGCAGTGATTCTTCCCCTCTATTCAGCACTGGGGAGGCCACATCTTGAGTCCTGTGTCCAGCTGTGTGCTCCCACAACAGAAAGGATGTGGACACGTTGGATAATTGGTAATGAAAACAATTCAGGGGTTGGGGCACATTGACTGGTGAGGAGAGGATGAGGGAACTGGGCTGATTTAGTCTGCAGAAGAGAAGACTGAGGGGGATTGAATAGCAGCCTTCACCTCCCTGCAGGGGGGCTGCAAAGAGGATGGAGCTGGGCTGGTCTCAGTGGGGGCAGATGACAGGACAAGGAGCAATGGGCTCAAGTTGCAGCAAGGGGAGTTGAGATTGGATACTAGGCAAAACTTTCTCACTAGGAGAGTACTAAAACACTGGAAAAGGTCACCCAGAGAGATAGTGGACTCTCCATCCTTGGAGGTGTTTAAGACCCAGCTGGACAAAGCCTTGGCTGGGATGATGTAGTTGGGGCTGGTCCTGCTTGGAGCAGGGGGTTGGACTGGATGTGACCTCCTGAGCTCCCTTCAACCCTAATTGTTTATTATTGAGGTGCCTTCTTATTTCTGCTGAGCCTTGCAGCTGAGGGTGCCAGCCTTTAAACCTAGGCTGGGAGCATCCTTGTAAAAATACAAAGGGAATTAGTCCTGGACTGCAGTCCTCTTTAGACTCCAGCACCCCCCCCAGGTTGTCTCAAGGCACTTCTTGGAAAGCACTCACACTTAGTTTCACTCCTTTTCTTTTCTTTTCTTTTCTTTTCTTTTCTTTTGGCCTACAGAATAATGGAGCGGGTTTTTTTCTAATGCAGAAAACTCAGAAAGAGCACAGCCATGGATTTCTATTTGAAATCTTTCGGTTCTCCTGAATTATGCTTGTAAACCTAACAGTGCAAACGTTGGGTGTCACCCTAGAAAGAGTCTCAAGACACTCGGTTCTGTGGTACCCTGGTTGAGAAGCATTGCTCACTGGCTTGGAGGGGAAGTAGATGGTCTCCAAAGTTAACTTGCTCTCTAAGCACTGCATGGTTCATTCTATTAAGAAAACAACAGAATCGGTGCTTTTATAGCTGGGGGAAATTTGGTCATATGTCTTGCTTGCTCTGAAAGTGTGAGTTTCCACTGAACATTTGGACATACATAATGCTGTTCACATAAATCTGCGTATTACTAAGAAGGTAGTGATCAATAAAAATTGGCCTCTGTTTATTTTTATATTGGCCTTCAGTAATGATAGTAGCCATGGCTGGCTGCTTCTCCTGCAAGTGTCTTATATTTTCTTTCATAATGCATGTCCTCCCTGAGTTAGTGTGGAGGAGCACTGCTCTTTCTGCCATTTCAGGAAACATTTCTGCTTCTGCTTTCATGTCTTTAAGGAAGCAGTCAGTCATAAGCACTAAGCTGAGGGATATCCAGTATTACCTGATATCTATTTCTGTTTTATTTAACATAGCTGATTAAAAAAAAAAAAAAAAAAATGAATTCAAACCTTTAAGTTACCTGTATTGGTAACTTTGTGTTTAACAAGGTTATTACTATTGTCTTCATCTTTTCCTCATTCATACTTTTCCATAACTTTAATTATATTCGTAGTGCCATTAAAATCACCTTCCTTTTCAGGATCAGGGCTTAAATAGAGGGAAGGAGGGTGGAAGTGGTTTTTTGTGGCTTGCTGTTGAAGAAGCAATATGTACATTTATAGGTGTAACATAAAAGTATGGTTATGGCAGTGGTTTTCATCCTTATTTCTTTTTCGAAATGGAGAGAAGGACATAACTTGCCATGCCTTGCCCCTCCCCTCTCCCAGGAGTAGTTTTACTTCTGATCTGGAATGAATTCCTTGTAAAGTTAACGTGCACCTAGTGATGCAACAGCCTTGTCCCTGTTCTTCAGTGGTGGTTAGGTTTGCTTTTTTTGCATGGTGGGAGCAGTCAAAAGCAGCGGATGTGTCTGGGGCTCAAATAGTGTAAAGGTGACAGGGGGCTGTGCTCAGTGCCTGCTCACCCAGCAGCTCTTCAGACAGAGGGGAAAGAAGCAAGATTCCCTTTGCAGCCTCTCTCCTCCTGCCCCCTACTGTGTGGCAGCCTACTTTGTTAATCCTTGTACAGCCAAGTTAAAGGTTTTGCAGCCCCCAATCTACATGCAGATCTGCTGCATTAAGCCTCTCACAGCTGCCACTGAAAGTGAGCCATTGCAGTGGCAGGTAAGGCTCTGTCCAGCCTGCCCACCACTGTTCCACGATGCTCAACACAACCCTCTTTCCAACCTTGTCAGCCACCCCTCTCCCCTTCCCTGCCCAAGGCACATAAATGCCTGTGGAGTGCTGGGTTATTCCTTGGTTTGGGATTAGGATGTTTCATTTCAAGTGGTTTTAGCCCTGACAATAGTATTTAGTTTCTTACTGCTTTTATTATATCTGTATCTATGATAATAAATGGATGCAGGGTAAAGACTTAAACACATTGTATTCTGGTCAGATGTTTGCTGTATTAGGCCAGTGGTTCTCAGCTGCGACACCATGACATTCAGAAAAGTTGTAGACGGGTACCTTGAACCTAAACAGGTTGAGATTCACTGGATTATAGTAAGCAAAATGTTGTTCATTAGATAAGTTACTTAATGTAACCATGCAGCAAAAAAACAATAACTTCTCTTTGAAGCAGAAGAGATCTTGGTTTGTATTTACCAATTGTCTCAATATAAGTATCCGTCTGAAAGACAAATCAATGCACCTTACTGCATTGGTGAACAGGCTGTATTGTTGGAAGTCAAATGCATGTTTTGTTCAGAACTTCTAACCCAGTTGAATGTGCTAGTTAAGATGCTACGTTATCCTAATATCTAAAATGGCCTGCTTGACATGTCACCCTTTGCCCACAGGAATAGTGAACATTAATGAAAATAATGTTCAGGAGCTGATAATAGCAGCAGACATGCTTCAGCTGACTGAGGTTGTGGATCTTTGCTGTGAATTTCTAAAGGGACAAATTGAGCCCCTGAACTGTATCGGACTCTTTCAGTTCTCTGAGCATATCGCCTGCCATGACCTCATGGAATTCACTGAGAATTACATCCATGCTCACTTCCTGGAAGTTCTGAGTGGTGAGGAATTTCTGGCTTTAACAAAGGAGCAACTTACTAAGATCTTACGAAGCGAGGAGCTTAGCATAGAGGATGAGTACCAGGTTTTTGCAGCTGCAATGCAGTGGATTTTGAAGGACCTGGGAAAAAGAAAGAAACATGTGGTAGAAGTGCTGGAGCCGGTTCGATTCCCTCTGTTACCACCACAAAGACTCTTAAAATACATTGAAGGTAATTTTGGAAGGGGTGACCCTTGGTAAAAGACTGCTGTGTTTTGCTTTTTCCAGTTTCTAAGTACACTGAATTGCTCTGATTTATAAGTTTGCCTCTTTTCTGAAGATCGAACCTGAAAATGTAGGATTGACTTATATGCAGGGTTGAATTTATAATAGGAGCCATATGGTAAGAAGCAAACTTAGAGTGATACAAATGAACCTGAGTTTAATGAGCTCTCATAAATTTATTTCAGAACAGATTCTGGGAAACTTCTGGACCAAGGTGTGCTAAGCCTGCAGAGATTTGTCTTAACTTGTCCACTTCAGACTGCATGTCCCAACCCACAAGTGGCTCTTTGATTTGTCACATATGGCCCTTATGGAAAGTTCAATCAGAACATTTATTTTTTGTTAATTGGCATGAGTTTGGTATGTCTTTTCTGGAACTGCAAATGGTCCACATGATGATATTATTTGTCTCTTTTGTACTGGAGTGCATTTGCCAGAATTCACCCTATATTGTACATGTGCTTGTTGCTCCTTAGTTAATATGGACTGTGCTAGCTAGTCAGGCTGGGTGTCACTAGCCTATCTTTCTCAGAGGCTGGGAATAATTGCTGCCTTGTGTGTCTGTCCTCTGGGCTGTAGTTTTTATTGAAAATAATATTTTTATTTTTCTCCTCTTCCTCCATTTTTTTCCAAGGAGTTCCAGATTTCAGCCTCCGGGTGGCTCTGCAGACCCTGTTGAAAGAATATTGTGAAGCCTCTAAGTCTCCTAAAGAGAACAAGGTCAGCAGTTTTCTGCAAACTTCTAAAGCTCGTCCCCGGAGGAAAGCCAGGAAGTACCTTTATGCAGTAGGTTAGAATCGAGTTGCTTGAACCTTTTAAAAAAACAACACAAAGCACATGCATCTGTGAACTACAAATCTTTTAAAAACCTGTATCAAAAGATAAATGACAAAATAATGAAATGTTATGTATGTAATACGGGGGCTGTATTGTCTGATTGCAGTTGTAAGCAATGTGTTGATTAGTAAATCACGCCCAGGCGAGGTTCTGGAAGACTGGAAAAGGGTCAATGTGGTCCCTATCTTCAAGGAAGGGAGGAAGGATGCCCCGGGGAACTATAGACCAATCAGTCTAATGTCCATCCATGGAAAAATCTTAGAGAAAATTGTCAAGGGATCCATCAATACCAGACTAACGGAAGGCAAGCTTCTGAAGGCCAGCCAACACAGCTTTGTGGCTGGCAGGTCTTCCCTGACCAGCCTCATCTTCTATGACCAGGTGACACAAACCCTGGACAAGAGAGATGATGTGGATGTCGTATATCTGGATTTCAAGAAAGCCTTTGACCTAGTTCCCCACGATGTCGTCATGGTTAAGCTGAGGAACTGTGGCCTTGATCATCATGCGGTCCGATGGCTAGGTAACTGGTTACGGGGTCGGACCCAAAGAGTACTAGCTGACAGGAACAAGTCAATGTGGTGCAGGGTGATGATCAGCGGAGACCCTCAGGGCTCGGTACTTGGGCCGGTACTCTTTAACATCTTCATTAACGATCTGGAGTCAGGAGCTGGATGCGAACTGGCCAAGTTCACAGATCATACCAAATTATGGGAGACAGCAGTCACACCACTGGATGGGTTGAGGATACAGGCTGACTTGGACATGCTTTCAAGGTGAGCCAACCAAAACCAGATGGCCTTCAATGAAGAGAAGTGTAAGATGCTGCACCTTGGTAGGAAGGACCCTCAATACACTCACAGGCTTGGCAATGCTATGCTCACTGGCACCATGACCAAAAGTGACTTGGGGGTCCTGATTGACCACAAGTTGAGTATGAGTCACCAGTGTGATGCTGTGACTGGCAAAGCAAACTAAACTCTGGCAAAACTCGGGATACCATTCTCCCGCTTTACTCAGCCTTGGTGAGGCCGCAGCTGGAGATCTGTGTCCAGTTTTGGGCCCCCCACTTCAAGAGGGATGTGGAAAAGCTTGAGAAAGTCCAGAGGAGAGCCACTCGTATGATCCAAGGCCTGGAAGGCAGGCTGTACAAGGAGAGGCTGAGGGACTTGGGACTCTTCAGTCTGGAGAAGAGAAGGTTCAGGGGGGACTTGGTGGCAGCCTACAATTACATAAGAGGGGTACATCAGGGCCTGGGAGAACAGCTGTTCACCACAGCTCCCCAATGGGATAACGAGGCCTAACGGCCATAAACTCCAGAACAGCTGATTTAGACTAGACATACGAAAAAAGTTCTTTACAGTGCATGTGTTCAGGGTCTGGAACAAACTCTCCCCAGAGGCAGTACAAGCACCTACTCTGGACTCTTTTTCAAAAAACAGGTGGATATATTTCTTGCTGGGGTCACTTGATCCCAGCTAAGTTCCCACCTATGGCAGGGAGGCTGGATCTGATGATTTCATGAGGTCCCTTCCAGCCCCTAATGTCTATGAATCTATGACTATGAATAAATAACTGGCGAGTATTATCAATCCATTCATATTTCATTTCCTTGAATGCAGTGTTGCAGCCTAAAGTAATTTTTCAGAATCAGTTGCCCCAAGCACAGAATGGTACAGCACTGTTCAGAAGTGAAATGCACGCAGGAAGCTTATGCCCTATATTGTTACATTTGTCATTCTTCCCCTTTTTGAAATAAGTATTTTTGGGCCTGGCTGAAAAGTCAGGCCTTTTGTATTTTGAGTTACACTTAAACTTTTTGTTTGCAGTGTTCATTAATATGTCCATCCTCTGAAATGGAGGTCGTATAGAAGCTCTTACTAATAGTAGAACAGGCTAATGAATGGAAGAATGAAAGAATTGAAGAACCATCGTGAGATTGAGTTCAGAAGTTATAACATTATTTTGCACTTTTCTAGAACTTTTCATTCATCTGTCTCCAAGATGTTTTGCAAACTTTAGGTACCTAAATCTCTGAAGTATCCAATATATCCATTGTTTGTTTGTTTGTTTGTTTGTTTTTTAGGTGTGAACACTCAGCCAGAAATGAATTGACTAAGCCAAGGTTTCACACAAATGTTTCATACCTTCTGGGGTCGGAAGGGACCTGAGCAGATCATCTAGTCCGCCCCCCTGCCATGGCAGGAAATAGTACTGGGGTCAAACGACCCCAGCAAGGTGTTCATCTAACCTCCTCTTTAAAAACCCCCAGGGTAGGAGCCTGTACCACTTCTCTTGGAAGTTTGGTTCCAGATCCTAGCCGCCCTGACCGTGAAGTAGTGCCTCCTGATATCTAGCCTAAACCTACCCTCTGCCAGCTTGTGACCATTATTCCTGGTCACTCCTGGCAGTGCACGGGGGAATAGTGACTCCCCCAATGCCTGCTGATCCCCCCTGACTAGT